TATTTTTTATTTTAAATTTCATTTTAAAAATTATTTCTATTTTATATTTAAATTATATAAAAAATTGTTGATATTCAAAAACAAAAAATAAAACTATTTATTATATGTACTCAGGCAGAGAGGGAGTTGAGAGTAGCACAATCGGACTTCGATCGTCAAGCAGAGATTGTAAAGTTATTATTGGAAGGAGTTTCAAGTTCTCAGGCAGGACATTTGCGTTGCTTACATGAATTTGTTGAAGCACAAGCGCGGTATTATGCTCAATGTCATGCAACAATGCAAGATTTACAACGTGAACTTGCTGGGTAAGAAAGAAAATTTATTTTCAAAGTTTGTTTTTTTTTTTTTCAAATATTATTTTATTATCCTACACACTACTGTACAACTATCCTTATACAGCTATCCTACTCTTTGGTGATCCGAGTGAGTAATGTTTAATAATTATTGAATGCTATGTCACATTTGACATGTAAAAGTATTTAGAATAAGCTTATAGAATCATTACTCATTCGCAAAGATCATCATATATTAATTTGTATTGCCTAAAACTTTGCTTATTTTTATAAATGTGATATATGTAATGTTTATTTTCCTTTTTTCTTTTTTTTAATAGTAATTATGTTATCTTAATTGTAGATCCTAAAATAAAAACAATTATGTATTTGTTGCTCTAGTTCTGTGCTTATTATACTTATTTATTCTTTCAATATATTCTTTCTATTTTCTATCTTTGCCTGCATGATTGGGATTCCAGGACGCGTCAACCAAGTCCTTTGCTGCGAGTCAACAGCGAAGATGTGATCGAGTTAACACCTTCAAATTCACAATCCCAAAATTCCTCTATACATCCACCACTTGCTGGTTCTACCTATGTTACTGCTACCTTTGATACCGATATCTCGAAAGTTTAGCTTTAAGACTAATTAATCGCGTTAATGAAAGGCAATAACTACTTCATTTATTTATGATCTGAAATCATAAATAAAAGCTTATAGGGCATTTCTCCCCATGTATACATAGATATACATTGTTAACTTATACAATTTTAAAAATATGTTGAATGATTCTTAGTCTATTATATTACTATCGCATTATGAACTTGTAATTATCAGAAATCAGTAAATAAATTATCTTTATGAAATGTTTATTTACTTTCACATAATAAAAGAAATAAACAATTATTATTAATAAATAACAAAATTAAGAAAAAATTTTTATTAGATTTTTTTTTTATTTATTTAATACTCTTATTTAATATATATTTTAATGTTCTATTATGTGTTGTTTGTATAGTTGATTAATGTTTGTTTGTAATGCATGATGCTAAATTTCTTTAATATTAGCAAATTATTTGTTAAAAAAGATTAGGATTTTTTTCCCAAATCTTTTAATATATTTTTTACATTATTTTTAGATTATTATTTATTGTTTTCCTAATGTTTGCCAAATCGCTTACGCTTCTATATGTGTACTAATATAATTTTACAATAATTTTAATATTTATTTATATATCTAGCTATATATAGATTATATAAAATGTAGTAATAATTCAAAATAAGAATTTATATTTTTTTTTTTTTTTTTCTAAGTTTTTTGAAAAACGAAATTAGAATATTTTATCAATTTTTTAATTTAAAAAAAGAAAAATATAATTTAAATACAATTAAAATGTTAAAAATTACAAAAACAATTTTATATATTTGCACAAATATTGTTGATTCATTTTAAAACGCATGTTCAACTCATCCAAATTGTAATTTATCCTACCCAGCTTATCTGGGGGTCCTTATCATCCGACTACCCTATCAACATCCAATGTATCAGGGAATGATGATGAACAACTTGCAAGGGTATTATGCGATTTTTCTGCAAGCAATTCTGAAGAATTAAGCGTCGTACAAAATGAGGTAACAAAATTCGTGATTTAGTTAGAAAGAAGCATGTTTGCAGCATAGCTAAATAAATGCTATGAATTGTTAGTTGAAAGTGAGTTCATTTATTAATTCAATTAAAAGTAATTTTTTTCGTTTGAAAATTTTGATATAATTAAGTCAATTTTATAAATTTTATTCTTTCAAATTCAAATATATAATAATGAAATCTCATTAATAATAAATATTAAAATTTTATATATTAAAAATTTATTAGAATTTATAAATTTATTTATTAGAAATCTATAAATAATTGTGCACTTTATATCTTAAATTCAGTGCAATGCAAATGTATTTTTGATCTATTATAAATATAATAGAAAGATAATAGTTGTTACTTACATAAGAATTTTTTATGATACATTCTCATATAGTTTAAAATTTTAAATAGTATATAGCTTAAATTTTTGTTTCTATAATGTAAAATAAAGATAGAGTGCTTAAATTGAATAATGTAAATAAATTTTTGTAACAAAAATAAGACACGATGTTATAAAGTAAAAAACATATATATATTGGAATTGCATATAATACTCAATTAGTTTAAGTCTCTGTTTTAAAACAAACATTTTTATATACTTGACACTAAGTCTTTAAGAATTTTGCATGATATTTGTAATATTTAATTATAAGTTTTTAATAATAAATGTATAATTCGTTTTCCTATTTTTGTTAAATTTTGTTTTTGATGCTTAATACATATGTTCTGATTTTACTTGTATATTTGTTTCTTCAAAAAATTAATGTTATATATGTATATGCATATAAAAAAATATGTATATGCATTTATTCAATTTTGCATGTAATAAATAAATTATCATTTATTTTATTATGTGTATTTTATTTATTCATACCTTAAATACCTTTAGTTTTTTTATAATTTTAGCTATTTTTATTTAATTCAATTAAATTTTTAATATTTTGAGATTTATTAAATTAAAACTTTATGAACTTATTTTAATATTTTATGAAATTCAATTATCTTAGGTAATTACAATTATTGAAATACCTGGTGATGAGGACTATGTAATGGGAATAAGTGGATCAAAACGAGGAAAAATACCCGCAGCATATTTAGAATTGATTAATATTTATAAATGAAAAACTTGCCAATAATTATTCTTAATGAATATTCCTTGTACTTATACTTTTGCTTCTATTTTCTTTAAATTGAACACTATAATTATATTTTATCTTGTACAAGTTTTAGAAGTAACTGCCAAAGTGTGATTAATGAAAATCACATTTTAGGTATATATAATTTAATTTTTAAGTATATATATATTAATTTTTTACAATCTAAATATATAATGCAATATATTGTACAAAGAAAAGAACTGAAAATATCTTTAAAATTGCATATTAAATAAATATTTTTAAATTATGAAAATTATTTTGAAAATGTTTCTGCAATTATAATTCAGCTGTTATTTAAACAAAGAATTATGTTTCATAAATATGAAAACTGTATTATATTGTCTATAATAAATATATTATTCAAAATAAATGTTATTAAAATAAAACCATTAATGTTATTTTATTAATTTATTGATAATCAAAAAAATATAAAATTACTTCTTTTTCGATACACCCACAGTACGTCCACGACGACCTGTAGTTTTTGTATGTTGACCACGTACACGCAAACCCCAATAATGACGCAAACCTCTATGAGCACGAATTTTCTTCATTCGTTCCAAATCTTCACGAAGTTTTGAATCCAAATAAGAACTAGTGAGCTATAAAATATAATGTAATAATTGAATTACATAATTTTAAAATAATAACAATTAATTTATAAATCTATTGGAATTTATATGTTGCATAATTAATTAAATTTCAACATACTATTTAACTTATTAATGTTAAATAGCAAGCTATCATGCAGTTTCTTTAGCACGAGCTACCAATTAATCCATATACAAAATACATATGGTTAGTCGTGAAATCGTGCTTACAAAATTACATTATTTAATTTTTTTTACAAGTTTAAAATTAATAAGTCATATCAATACTTTATAAAAATTCTATAATTGTACATACCTGTGAATATTTACCATCTACAATATCTTTTTGCCTATTCAAAAACCAATCAGGAATCTTATATTGCCTAGGATTAGCCATGATTGTAACAATTTTTTCAACCTTATAACAAAAAAATATCAGATAAATATATTATTTATTTTTAATTATTATAAAAATTTAATAAATTTTATTTATTTTTTATTTATTTATATGAAATTATTAAAAAAAATATAAATTATATAAATTAATTCTTACTTCTTCTTCTGAACATTCTCCAGCACGCTTATCTAAATCAATGTCAGCTTTCTTTAAAACTATATTAGCATAACGACGACCAACACCTTTAATTGCTGTCATAGCAAACATAACTTTTCTATTACCATCAATATTCGTGCCCATGACACGAAGAATATGTTGAAATTTTTCCGGAATTACAAGAGACTGAAATATGATACATCTATTAAGTTTACTACAAATTAACCTATATGTATCAATATTTATAGTATTAGTTAATTGTTCTCATATTTATTTTAAATTACTAAAAATTACGAAGATACACAAAATAAAGTATGAGAAACAATTAACTAAAGATATAATTTTTATATATAACAATCATAAATTAATAATGAACATTCAATAAATAAGCGATATGATATTATATAATTTTTGTTTAAAAGATTATAAAATATCTTTATAATTGGTTATATAAATAATTATTTTATAATTTCTTATTTAAAAAAAATATATTTTGTATAAGATTCTATTTAAAATTAAAGATTTAAAACTTTGACATAAGATACTCACCATCTTGTAAAACTGCTTGTTACTGAAAGAGATAAAATCAGAATTGCACTTTTCTTCCTATAGAGGGCATTTATGATATGTGAACATTACAATAATTTAGTAAAATAAAAATATAATTAAAATAAAAATCTATATAATAAAGTTATATGTAATAATTATTATATATATTATTATTTCATAAAATAAGAAATAAATAATAAATAATTTTAATAATAATTGTAAAATGATATTTTAATTAATCTTGTTTTTTTAATAGAAAATAATATAACAATATTTTGAAATTTACAATATAATATATTTAAAAATAACGATATATTGAAAATAATATAAATTATAAATATTAAAAATTATAAATATAAAATAATATATAATTCAAAAAAAATATAAAAGAAATAATTATTTTATTAATAGTATAATATCATGAAATTATTATTATTTATGCAAAATTTTATAAAAAATTATTTAAAATTTAAATTCATAATTTTTATTATATGATAATTATATATAATATTAAAAAATTCTTTTTAATAAATTATATATTTAACTACTTCGTATTATATGACGATAGATGGCGCACTATGTACTGTGTTTTGAAAATTGGATATGTATAGTATAAAATGAAATTCATATAATATTCATACATGTATGTACTTTTTAACTTTTTGATTTTACATTTTAATATTTTGATTTTAATATTTAAAATTGTGTCTCTACATGTATTTCAAACATCGACTATTTTTTATGTGCAAATTAAATAAATTATAAAGTATTACAATTACATATTTTTAAAATTGTAGAAATTTATAATAATTAATATAATTAGTAGTAATAATAATAATTTTAGTAATATAATAATCCAAATAGCAAACAGAATATCATGATTTCTAATAATTAAATATTATTTCGTCGGATAAAAAGGATCATTTTTCTTTTTAATAATATAAAGAAATTCATATATTAATAATTTATTAATAAGAAAAAGTTCGAATCTTGAAAAAAATATAAATACATTTCATATATTTTTTTTTGAAATAAAAATAATAGATATATTAATTTTGAAACAAAATAGATTAACTTTAAAAATTAAAATCTTAAAAAAAATTTTTAAAATTTAAAAGACAAATAAAAGAAAAAGTTTAAAATTTAAAACATAAAATAAATAATTTTAAATTTTAAATTAATTTTAAATTAATATTTTATATTTATCTATTTATTTTAAATTTTTTTTAAAATATATGCATACAATATAAAAATGATATACGAATATTTATGTTTCGTTTGTTCTAATTTAAGTTCAATGAAATTTCAATGGAATTTATTGTTACCAGAACTTAAATATCTAATATCGGAAAGGGAGCGTTTTAGAAAAATTTTTGAACATAATACAATAAAATCTATCTCATGGGTATAGTTTCGATAACTCAATAAAAAACGAAAGAGTAAAAAGTAATCGTGTATATAGGAGAATTGCCGTTTTCTATAGGATACGATTTCCTGCTTGGTTTTCCAACGTTTTCCTTCTTTCATTCTTAAATACAAGAGGGTGGAGCAAAAACGAGCGTCGAGAGGATAATAGGAAGAAGAAATTCCGAGGTATGATACCCCTCTGATTCGTTTTACGATGGTCGTTTCCTCGAATTAGGGCGGAATAAGAAAGAATTCGTGAATCCGCTGATTTCGACTAACCCCCTTTTATCTTGTTCGTTGGAACGTGGAATATAAACGTATATACATCATATAAATATGCAAAAGTTCATGTATACAAATATACGATTATATGCTGACTTAAAAAAAAAAAGTTAATACAAAATTTTTTTATAGAGATATCAATGTCTTCATTGATAAAATCATTTTATCAATGAATTAATCAATGAATTAAATTAAGATTATGCGATGTTTAATTTATTGTGAATTTAAAGTTTATTTAAAGTGAATTTGTTATTAATATATCTTTTTTTCTTTATTATCATTATATTATATTAATCCCTTTATTATCATATTATTTTCCAATTTATAATTTTGTACTATCTATAAATAATTTATAAAAAATATTTTTTTATATTTAGAAAAAAATTAGTTCAAATGAAATAAAAGTTATTTTTTTTAAATTTTAGC